CTGCCTTCTGCTGACCGACGCTCCTGGAATAAGTGAAAATAAAACGCAGGATATGAAGAAATTTAATTTAATGACTGCAAACAATAAACAAAATTAGGTCATCTGTATATATTCATGCGAAAAAAAAATATTGAAGCAATCCTTATACACAGTTGGTACCCCACAGTTCAACCCACCCACCATTTGTTCATCCTGGGAGGTCAAATCACAATTCAACCTCTGCCCTTCAATTTGACCCAAACAGAAATGCAAAAAATAAAATACAAATTAGAAAACATCAACTTTAACATTGTCTTGCAATTTGACTGCTGCTTCACAATTTGATCCTAGTCCAGCAACAGATAAGGGTAAATTTGCAGGGCACCACCTGTTTAAGGGATGTAATGAAACTATCACATCATTGCGCATGTGAGCTTCTTATGGCCTGTCTTTTCCAGATGTTTCATCCATATATGAAGCAAAAAATATATACAGGACATGACTGCAAGTGAAGATCAAATGAAGCTTTTCCAGCTCATCACAATTTCAACAAATGAAGAAAATTTTCCATAGAATAAGGAGTTGAAAACAAAATTTTGTTTCTGAACTCATCCCTAAATTAAAAAAGAGAAATCATCACAGGCCAGAGCAATTTTTTATTTATTTTCATTTATTAAAAATATTTGAAAATATGAGATAAATGCGTATGTCCAATGTTTTTTTATGCAGATTATCAAAATTTATGCAGGTTTTCTGATTGCATCAGAGTTGTGCATGTTTAGTTCCAACATCATACGCCTAAGATTTTGAATGAGCATTTTCAGATTATAGTTTCATGAATGATTATTAATCTGCCGATTTTATTTAGGTGAAGCCTAGCAGAATTTTGAAAATTTATTGAAGTAAGTATACTGTAAATTTAGCATGCGTCTCATGCACTTGAGGCCATTTCTGCAAATCCGCTGGTGACTGCTAAACATTTTGTTTTGGTTAAAGCAAAGCTCACCTTGTATTCTCTTCTGTCATTTCGTAGCTTTCGTATGCAATTGAAGACCATGATGAAGCACATTCCTCCGAGTAACATGCAGCCAATAGTCATGATCACCAGGATGTGGCTTTCTGCAAATTTCTTTGTGCCGGGTTCAGTAGTCTAAAAATGTCAGGAAAAATATGTCATATCAGTGACCAGTCAAAAGTACATGGAATTAAGAGATTAGGCCTATTTCAGTTGAATTTAATGAATAAGTGATTGAGCGGATTTCAAAAGAAGACAAACCAAAATGAGCTGAAGTGCAGAAAAGAGCATGTGCAAAATTGTTTCTTCAATTCACAATTTTGCATACGTATACGATTTCCTGAAAAAAATTTATTTTATGGAATATAACGGGATTCTGTCTGATAAATTTAGAGTTTTCACATGATGTGAATACAGTCATGCGGCAGTGTACAGTAATATTTTTTGCACTGTTACGTATTTGCCCTGCAAATAGGACTGTAACATTTTCCTTTGTAATTCCAAAAAATGTAACACAGAATTTTAATTTCCTTGCAGAAATATTTAGAAATGAACAGAAAATGCGTTGAAAAATCTTTGGCACCGATTAAAATAATTTAAATAGCCTCAAGTTTTCTTTGGAAATTATAAAAAAATTTCAAATGATCATATTTCTGGTCGTCCTCGTATTTTATAATTTTTATTGAATATGCGCTGAACGCTACTCTGCAAAGTCGCGCTCTTTCAGTTCGGGACATTTTAAAAAGCGCTCCAATGTTCCATTCACCAAGTTTATAGAAAAAAAACACCCTCACTTTGCATTCGGACTCCATTTCATCCTGCATAAATTTGCAATTGTGGATTCCATTGCACAAAAGGGCCTTGTCAATGCAAGTCCCATCAGTGCAGTCAAACTCCGTGTCAAAACATTTGTCATCTGCAAACCAAGACGGTCCATCAAAATCCCTTCAAAATCCTAAAGAAATTTCAAACCAAAACATTTATTTCATCATCGTTATCACGACGAATTTTAAGACTTTTGACAAAAAGCGGGACAACATTATTTGCAGATTTTCTTCCAACCGGAAAAGGTATAAGAATCCAGTTTTGACCATTCCAGTATGTTATCACCATAATAGGAAGAATTTGAAAATTCACAGACACCTTTCTTTGGATTACCAAAAATAAGCAGCACATTGAAAATAGAAACATAACCTGGTTTTTTTCAGGGTATCTTTCCGGGGTTAAAAAAAAATTCCCTGAAAAACCGGGACTGTTGAACAGGCCTTGAAAAAAACGTTACAAAAACTTGTACAGTATAACATTCAAATTAATTTCAAATGCCGATGAAGAGGTGATAAATTAAAGCCGAATAAAATCCACTTCTAAACTATTTTACGTATACTTCTCTAAAAAACAGAATTTATTCATATTCCACTGAGAATGATTTAACCTCAGTGCAGAGTTTAAAAACCACGAATCCATCAAAAACTTGAAAAAAAAACTGTCGCAAATTCCTCGTATAATTTTAAGTGTGAAATCATGTGTTTGAAAGATCTGAAAATCTCTGAGTTGCTAAATTCTTTTTTGGGACATGAAAAAAACGTCTTAAAGAATTCCTCAAGTAAATAATTCCCAAGCTGTTTCCAATCTTTTCACATCGAGGAATCAAGTTCCCCAAAAAATCTTGTTGAAGCAGGGGAAAAAAACCACATATATAGATTGCAAAAAAAAAAAAAAAAAAAAAAANCTGACGTTGAACTTGGACTCGAGTCCACCGGGTTCGCTGACGAACCGCAGGTGGGCCAGGTGGCCCGGGGTCAGCTCCGTTTCGGCCATGCTCCCGCAAAAGTGGCGCAAGTTGCTTTGCTCGTTGGTCTTGTCTCCGTACACGTCCATGAAGTTGATGCCGCATTCGTTGGGCTGCTCCAGGGAAAAGGTCAGGAAGGACAGCAAAATCTGGAATAAAATGATAAGATGCATTTTTTTTGGGGGATGGAAACGGTTCCCAATAACTGAAGGACACTTCCCAGCAGAAGATGATCAAATCTTAGAAATACTGTATTGTATTTATTTGATTAGGGAAATTATTTTAGGTACAGTCCAGCAAATTTTTTAAATAAGTTAACTTTGTTAAATCTTAATTGAAGTAAAAAAAAGAATTCCCAACTAATCTGCATTCCACCATATTGCTAAAATATATGCAGCACTGAATGGGTAAGAACTGATTCTGTAAAAACCCCCAATGCACAAACAATACTGCCAAACCCAGCACAACGGACTTAATTTGGGCAACAGACTAGTCTGTTGTGTGAAAATTATCTTATGTGACTTACAATTTATATTTGATGCCATTAATTTTAAACCAACAGAAGTCTGTTAGGGGGATTTAGTCTGTCACACAAGAGGAAAAACTGCCTCCAGAGGTGGTCCATTGTGTTGGAGATCTGCTGTGCAGAGGTCAACTGTACAGTATAATGTAACATACAGCACATGAACCAAATATGCATGAGATATTGGTGGCACTCTGCAGTTTAATTCAAATTCATTGCTGGGCTACGGTCAAATTGGGAAGCAGTCAAATTGCAAGACAACATCAGGTGCAGTGTTTTCTATATTTAATTTGATGCTGGGCATTGCTCTGCACGTGAATTGCTGGGCTGAGGTCAAATTGCAAATAAACTTTCCAGGAAAATTTGAACATAAAACTCTGGGATGGAGAAATTGTGAGAAGTCAAATTACGAGGTACCACCTGTAGCACAGTAACATGATGCTATGTAATGTATATGACAACTCACAAAATAAATTGGCACACATTTAAAGTGCCAGAAAAAGCATAATCTCTGGTAATCATAAACCTAAGAAGCATGAAATGCTTGCTGCAAGGAAGCATAATAGACCATGACATACATTTCAAACACAGAGTAACACAGTTAACATCCCTGAACCACATTTACATGAGGTAACATACATGGACCAAAGATACATAACATGACATGCATGACCCTAAGACACATAATACTGTAATGCAGTGGATACATGAATAAAAGTGTTAAAAATAACATGCACAACACAAAGTCACATAACAGGACATACATGAACCAAAATCAGCTGATACATACTATGAAACCTAGGTGCATAACATACATGGCAATGCAGTAACTAAGCAGAACATATATAATCCATATCAAAAACATAACCTTACAAACTTAGTTCAGCCAGATAGAAATGAATCTGAGAAACGTGACATGTATGAAACCCAAGAAGCAAAAGAACATATTGTACTCATACATTTCATGATCTCAAGAAACATGAGACATTATGCATGGAACCTGTTAGGGTTACAGAATCACAAGCAATAGGGGATGCTTGAGGTTCACTATACAGTATAGTTTAGTTTGCATAACCAATTGAACTTCTAGAACACTTGAACCTTGAGGACATGACTCACCTTGTACCCCTCCTCAACCTTGATGACCCAGGTGCAGTCAAGCCTCTTGGAGTGTTTCCTGGTAAAGTTTTTCTGCTCCTCAGGGATTTGCTTGTGTGTGATGATGCCCTGGATGCCTCCCAATTCCAACCGACAAGCTTCTCTATCTGGAGTCTCACCTATATTCAGTACATGTACACAATATCACATTTTCCTCATAAAGAATTCTGATTACTGTAGGTACACAGTACCTCATACACCTTTCTTCGGATATTAAAAAGAAAAAAGGAGGTGTGCATTATAGGTGGGTACAAGTGGTATCTTGCAATTTTACTTGAAATTTCATGGTCAAAGTTGCTTGGAAATTGACTTGTAACTTGACATGCACACTATACAATTAGACCTCTTCCAGTCAGTTTTCCAGTGATTTTGAGCAGCTCTTCCTTAATTTTACACAGTGTCTCACAATTTGAATGGTTTGCAAATTGACCCCAGTCCAGCAACAAATCCAGATCAATCAACAGGATATCACCTTTATCACGTTTATAAAAATTCTCAAGCTTTGGTGAACCTATCATACTTGATTTCTACAGAAAATTTCAAGAATTGAAATTTTGAAAAATCAACATTCAATTAGACTGAAATTCAAGTAAAAATATAAAATGTGATGCATTTTATTTTCAAAATATTTATATTTTTAGTCTTTTCTCAAAATGGGTTTCATGTCTTATATATAGAGATACCCAAATTTTAGGAGCAAAAATGGGGTTGTGAGTCTCACTTGAGGAAATATGTGACACTCAAGTGGACTCTTGCTACAACAATCTTGTCTGCAGTGATTTTCTATGCATAACACATTTTTTTTTGTCCCATTGGGTCCTCTCCCCATGTTATAGGGGTTCTCTGCAAAAAAATTCTCTCCACAACTGATTTTCTCTCTTATTGTCCATTGAATTTTGTTTCAGAGATTAGAGTTCTCTTGTACATAATTTGTTTTTACAGACCCCTGAGGCATGAAATGATTTTGAATCCAGGGATTTTACCACTGTTGTTGACAAATGTAAAGACGCCCTGGAAACCCCGCATCTCGATGTTCTCGTCGGATTTGAAACTGAGCCAAAGGTGTCTATCAGAAGACACTATGGGCTCTGGGAACCCGGTGCCACAGAACCTGCCCCTCAGCGTCGAGTATCCGTGGGCACCATCCCTGACCTCCAGGTAGTCATTGGTGTCCTCACACCTGCCATCCCATCTGTCTGAAGGTTCCAGCTCAAAGAACTCTCCTCTGAAGTCCAGCTTTATGTTTTTTCCAGGTGGTGCTGCACATGAGAGAAAAATAGAAAATTTCATATTTTCAATACTGTATAGGAAAAAACCCTTTTGCAACATTATACACTTCTGAATTTTAAATGAAAAATTTCAAACACAGTATTTGCTGGTGGATAGCATGTGCATATTTTTGAATGAATGAACAGAACACTTTATTTGCTGCTTTTCAGCGTTCACAAGGCACAACCGAGACTCCCGCATCCAAACCCCCTCCCCACCCAACCAAAATACCCTCAAACACATTCAGTCACTTCAAAGCAGGAAACAAAGCTCAGGTTGATGACAGAAATAAAAGAGAATACAGTCCAAAAAATAAAACTGGACATCTGATATGTATGCATACACCAACCCATTTGGCTGGTGCTGTACATTGAAAACAAAGTAGCAGTAAAAGTTTAATTAAAGTACAAGGTCTTCAGCTTTCTTCTGTATGAGGTTTAGTTGAATGAACAATTATGTTTGCATTTTTTTTTACAAAAACTCAGAAGGGAAAATGGCTTATAAATGTTTTCATATGATTTTCCTGGAAAAATATTCTGGTCCAAATCTTACTTGAGGACGTGGTATTTGAGTGAGCATTGAGTATTTAAAATACATTGAATAAGCAAAAAGTGAAAATTCTGTTTTAATGGAGCAAATTTGTTTCCTCTAGCTGGTGTTCAGGTCACCGGTTGAGCTTTTTGGGGCCTTATTTCAAAACTCTTTTTTGTCTTCAACTTTAAATGACTCTAAACTGGTGCTGTATTTTAAAAAGATCAGGGTAATTTTTTGAAAAATGAATATTGTAGTTTTTCTGATCTGACATTGGAAAAAATTTCAGTTTTTTGTTTAATTTTTGTCTCTTTGGAAGACTTTCGATACGTGGACTGTTCATTTTCCATGTATATAAATTGCATGGAAAGTTATCCACATGCAAATCCCTCGAATTTTGAATAGTTACAATTTTTTCAGCTGGTACAG